TCCACAGATGGTCCAAAGTCCCAACTAGTTAGTAGTACTAGCTAGAGTCCAGGATCTCTGGGTCACATGCAATTTTCTCCATAATTTAGTATGACTTTTTAAAATTTGACTACATTATAATTCAGCAGAATACTATTTTGTCAACCCTATTAATTCCAGTTGCTTGCCCACGGGTATGATACACAATTGTTGCTTTTGCTAGTTATAATAGAAAAACTCCCACTTGGAAAAAGAGCAAGAAAAACAGAGCCATCCCTGATCCATTATTTTCCCTACCCATCTGATCAAGAAAGAAATCCAAAGCCCTGGTAACTTGCATAAAGCAAGTTTCTCAGCTCCTCTGATTCTTTCTGAGTGCTCTGTGGGAATCACTCACCTGTCTAAAATACTGTTGGACACATATGAATAGGCTGTGCTTGGGGCTAGACAGCTTTCTTACCTTGCTGTTTTCTGGTGCAACTTTGGAGCCCAAGAGTTGCTTTAGGGCTCAAATAATTACAGTGCTTCTGCAGACCAGGCTTGTAGTTTGTTTAGTAATTCAAACATCAACAACAATGCTGCATTGGTTTCTAGTTATTTTCTTCCAGTGAATTTCTTATGTAAGCAATCCTACTGCTAAATTTAGTCAGAAATGACTTTTCAATCTGACATCTTTTATTTATTTACTAGGTTCTGAATTCAGTCCATTCCCTTCTCCTTCATCTTAGGGCTGGTTTATTTGAAAAACATTGACTAAGTACAGAAAATTTGATATTATCATTAGTAGTAAACAGTACTGATTTAAAAAGTGTCTATCTGTACTTGTGGCAAAAGTTATATAGCTTCCCACAGAGTTTTGTCCTCCTCCATAATTATGAAATCTCATTTTGGAAGTGACTGACTAGCCAAGGATTTCATTTCTTAGACCTCCTTTGTGTCTGTATAGGACCATGTGGCTAATTCTTTCCAACAGAATATGGAGAAAGTGAGATTATCATGACTTGCCTGTATCTTCTCCACAGTTAAGATCCTTTAGCAGCTTGGGTGACCTTGGAAGACAGTGGTCAAAGGCAAAAGCTCTTCTAGCTTTAGACCTCTGTGTAACTGTCTGGAGCAGAATCTGTGTCTCCCATGACTAGTAATATCTTGGTCTGTTATATGAGTGAAAATTCCTATGCTAAAACACTATGCTAATAACAGTACTATGCTGAGAATACTTACTGTGCTAATTACTATGCTAACAATATTTGAGATTTATACTTCAAGGCATGTTACATCACCAATACTAATATACAATCATCTTTCTGTTTTCAGTATTTCCATGATAACTCAAAATCTGAATAGGTCAGCTATTTGCTTTTCTAGTTTCTGTGGTGTGTTGGTATGTCGTACTAGTTCATACGTAGGAGACTCATCCATGCTGCTCATCCATACTGAACCTGGATGTGGAAGCCATGGTACAAATTAGGAACTGTATAGAATCTATTCTCAAATGGAAATTGTTAGATAGTAATACTCAGATTTCTGGAAATTTGTAAGCTATACAATACACATTTGGTGAATTAATTTTTGCTTTAAAAAGAGTACTAGTTGATTATCTTGGCTAGCAATCCAGAGCATGACTAATATAAGAGATGACCGAGATAAGACTAAAATAATGGTCTACCAATGAGTTTGGGGCAAAAGGATCAGGAGTGATTTTAAAAGGCATTTTCAAGTATATTAAACATGCTACTTTTTATTTTCATGAGATTACAGATGTGAAGATTGTTCAAGTTAGAAACTACATTTGAACTTAATAATTGGAAATGCAATTATCTGTTTTGTGAAGTGGTATTTCTATCAAGAGCATCAATCCTCAATGCACCATCATTTGTTTAATTTTTTTTTCCCAGCCACTACAATGAAAACTGGACAGTTTCCTATTTTCTTTAGATTATATTAAGTATAAAATGGCTCTAAGATTTTCATACCTTCTCAAAAATATACCTCTGTCATGTTTCAGTATTCTGAGTCAATGTACAGGTAAACATCTGCTTAAGTCAGATCAATAGCTGCTACAGTGCATGCTTGATAGCATGTGAAATAGTATACCAGTAGAACTGGTAAGAGACACATCCACAATTTATTTTTTCCAGAGGAAAAGTGTTCTCATAAGTGAACATCATTGCCTTTAATGATGGTGGTCAGTAATGAGATGCCACATTGTAGGCTATTTCTGTTCTTCTGTCCTGCATTCCAGAAAAACTTTCTGGAACACTAACAGGACATCTAAAATGGGCAATACACATTTTGCAGGGATTTGAGAAACTGATTTCATGGCATGTACTGTCACTATGTCTGATTATGAAACCGATTATTTCAGGGAATTATGGTATATGGTTCTTATTTCTTTTACTATTTGATATTCTATAAAGTTAAGCTTATATAAAAAAATGTGCTCCTTAAATTCTACAAGGAGATTTTACATGTCAATCACAGAAGAAATTATATTGTTTAATTTTACCATGATTTATAAATATCTTAATTTAGTCTAATCTCAGGATATGACTTAACAAAATCTCAGAAAGCTTATGTAAGATTATTAATATTTTTAAATATAGCCACCTAAGATTATAATATTTTAATGTTATTTTGTCTTTAAAGAAAGATAAGTTTTATGAAGTGTAGTACTTCCCTATCAGTTCATTTCATTTAGCAATTATAGTAGTGAAACAAATCCTAGATGAATGTGCTCTATAAAGAATTCAGAAATGTAATTTTAAAGAACTTTCAAATTCTCATTTCATTAAATCATTGATCAAATTTATTGCTAACTGCTATTGACAGTGGACTACTCTCACTTCTCTCATCTCTTCTGTACATCAGTACTAAGTCTTGGTCCAATCAGGGTTGTGGAGGGGGAGTGAAAAATAGTAATTTGAGCCAGGGAAAGTTTATATTTTAATAAAGAATTAACTATAACAGGGATTAGGGTAATGATGGAAATGGATGGGATTACAGAGAATTCTAAAGGCTAAATGAATGCCAGATACAATACCTTATAACTTAATATACAATTACTATCCCTAAGCCTAGTAGAGTACCCAAGAAAGAGCCACAATTTCCTTACTGATGTCCTGAGTTTCAGACCTTCTTCATAAGGACATGATCATGGTCTACACTGGTAGGACTTGCTGAAAATTCACTTTCTGTCCAAGGTGTCTCATTGGAAGCTTTTCACTGCAAAAAATGGTTGGGGATTACTGCTGGCCTTCAGGTGCCTGGTGAAGCTTCCCAAGGTGTAGGAACATGGGAGAACTGCAGCACATCAGGAGATGAGCTCTAGAAAACAGGTTTGCACAGCCAGAGACAGCAGAAAAGCAGTGCATGCTACACCTGCCTGTGATGAGCTAATGAGCCAAAAACATCAAGAAAAGACCTTTGCCTCATTCAGAGTTTGCATCACCTACTTACAAAGCTTGAAGATATGCCAGCTGGTAAAAGATAAGTGTACAAAGAACCCAGATCCATTTTTCGTAGGACAAGCCCAAAGGGTAACATTTAGAGTTAAGAGGCAATGAATATATACTAGGCATAATATGCTACTGAAGTTAAGATACAATTTCTTTAAATTTTTAGTTATTACTAAGATATTAACTTTGGGAATCAATATTATAGATGAATAGTTGAAAGTGAACTGAGGTGTCTACCAAAATGCCTGTTGCTCAATTTTAGTGCTGCAAAAGTGAAAGATACTTTGTATCACTGGCACTTAGATTCTGCAAATGCAAATTGAAAGAATAAATTTACCATATCAGTTACATTGACTATGTCAGTAATTGGTTCTTGGGGGAGTGCTATATTTAAGCTTACTGTTTCATGTAAATGTGATTAGTCATTTAAAATGAATAAATCATTTTATATTATAGCCACTAATAGGAAAAAAATTTCACAGTCAAGGAGGGATTTAGTTGTATATATTTTAGACATGTCCTAATTGGCCAAATTATATTCATTGGCTAATAAACCTGACTCTTAGTAAAGTTCTCCTTAATTTACATAGGTACACAATAAAGAAAAGGGTAAAATAGATTGTGGCACATCAGTCATATGACTTGAATTTTCCCAAGGGTCCCATGTGTAAATATCTTCAAAGAGAGAGACTTGTTTCATCATGATAGTATAATCCAATACATTAGCATTTATTTTTCTCTAGTAGGTCTAAGGTGTGTGTGCAAGTTAAACCTTATAAAACATTTTAATTAAAGTAAGTGTAGATAAATTAGAATAAGTATAAACTAATTTCGTTTAAAAATCAATAATATTATGCTAAAGTTCTGATTACTGCCAAATGATAGATACTATGGAACTAAAAAATATACTGATTCCAAACTAGAATTATTGTACATCTTTGAAATAATTTTTTAAATTATGGAATTATTTTAATTATGGTCTAACCTTTGAATTAGGATTTCAAAATAGTTTGGCTCATTATCAAATATATGATTATGAAAATTAAAAGGTTATTTTAATTTTTAAAATATTTTATAACTGTCTAATAAAATCTTATGTAGACCAAAATGAATAAAAACATTGAATAAAAATAAAACAATCGAATCCATAATATCCATTAGTGGCACATAAATTTGCTGTCAAGGTAAATTTTCTGTTTAAAGAGGTGAGGGAAAATGTAAAACCTTTGGATCCTTGATAAGACATATAAGTTAGCACCCTTGATAAGACATAAAGTTTAGCACAAAACCCTTATATCAGGGTTATTTTTGAAATTATGTGAGAAAAGAAAATGGCTTATATTGACTTTCTTTTGTACTAGTGTGTTGTTTTCTACAATAAAAGAGAAAATACTGAGGGCATAAAAATGATACCTCCTATTCAAACATTGGTATAAATAAGTGGAAATTATGTCCGTGGTGTTTTCTATGGAGTTTCGTAAGGAGTTTTCTTATGGGGGAGGATTACACTATTTTTGTAGAGCTTATCTAATATATTGTTGTAATTTTTCCTTTTTTGCTTTAAAGCTTCCCCTTGGGTTGATAATAGTAGAACTCCAAACAAGATTGATCTTTACGATGTACGCCGAAGACCATGGTAAGGATTTTTCGCTGACCTTAAATGTGAGAAAGACAAAACAAGTTTTGTTAAAAATGTTGGGGAGATGTTTTCATTATTAGGATGTACATTCTCTAATTATGTAAAGTTTTCTTAAAAGTAAATATAATCAAAGGTAAGTACAAGTGATGAGTTTATGGAGAAATAAGGCAGATATTGCTGAAATGAAATACCACATTTCAAATGGACTATCTTCAGATTTATATGCAGTCTCAGCTTCAAATCTCTTTCGGCTGGTGGGGATTTCTGTTGAAGGGTTCCCAGTTTGCTTGGGATAGATCTCCAACAGAGATGGCACGGAGTAGGAGATAGTTGGCCTCTGGCAATGAACTAATGAGAACTGGCCCTACAGTAAAAGCTGCCCCTAATTATATTCCTATAACTTAGATTTTATTTTTTTTCCAAAAGGAAGTTTTATTTGTCCCTCAATACAAAAGCAACTAATTCTCCTAATATAAGATGAAAAAAAATATTGATAATCTATAGTTGGACTCATTGGGAAATAACTATCAATTTTGGGTTTTTTATTTTATTTCAATTTTTGAAAAAAAGAGTTAATATATAACTGTATCTTTTTAATGCATTCATATTATATGTAGCATAGTGCTTTGTATCTCACCCTTTTAATACCATTACCTTTGAATACACATTCATGATAAGAGATATCATTTTTAAAATATATGGTAACTTATTTAAGAAATAAACTATTATTGGATATTTAATTTATTCCTAACATTTGGCTCATGTTTCTAACAGATTCTAAGCAGCATAATGGTTGATTCAATGGACATGTATTTAAGACTATTAAGTTCCCTGTTAAATGTCCCAGTACCAATTTGCATGAACACCAGACCAGTATCATAGTGACCAATGTTAATCTGTGTGTTATTCTTGATAATATTTCTCTGGTGTATCTCTTTGGAGCCATATGTTGTTGAGTGGAAGCAAAGATTACTATAACACATGATTTGGGTTCAGAAATCTTCATTGTTTTGTGGGAAACATGGAAGCTAGATTCTAACCATAAGAAGCAATCAGCATCCTCTCTTGTTGTCTTCCCATGGAGAAGCCTACCACCAGTGGTGTTAAGATGCTAGGCATTAAGACTGATGTTCTGCATGCATCACCTTATGTCAGATGATAATGCATCAATTAAAAATAAATAAATACAAACAAAAACCAAACCAAGCCAAAAATAAATAAATAAATAAATAAGGCACCAGGCATGAACTAGATTAGGCTTCCATGGCAACACACACCTACAACTGCCATTTTACCTTCTTATAGGGAAGTAAGCATGGATGCAGATTGTAAACTGACTGCTTCATCAACACAGACATGAATAGGTGGCAACTGTGCTGCAAGTTTTGTGAAAAGTAATGGGAAAGTAACCTGCAGGCTTATGAGAAGCTAGATTTCCAGTCATGGGCAGAGAGACCACAGAAATGACTAGAAAGTCAAGTTCCTATTGTAGCCTGGCAGCAGGAGCTTTCAAGGTTTTTGAAATCTCTCTACAATCAATGAACCATCTGTGCAAAACTCTCCTAGAGTCTCTTTAAAATGCAGATTCTGATTCTCTAAGGCTGTGTTTAAATTAGGAATCAACATTTTAAGCCGATTCTTGGAATGATTTTTGAATACTGTAAAGTTTTTGTGAGCCTACTTGAAATTCTTGGTGCTAACATTACCTACTGTGTGATTTCTTAGTTACCTTATTGGCCTGTTTAAAAATATATACATTTTTTAAGTTTCTAGACCACCGATCTTTTTTGCTTATACTTTTTATATTTAAAAATAGGATAATCTGTTGTTCATTGGAGTGGTTTAAAAAACATGTGGTCAACAATTGCAGCTCAAGATGGCTGCTTTTTCCTGTAGAAAATGTTCTTCTGGGAGGTGATTTCATTCACTGTTAGTATTAAAAATCTATCTTTTGTTCTTTTGTTATAAATATCTGGAAAATATGATTTAATTATCATGCCTTTGTCATCTCTAATGTCAGGTTAAATGTAACCTTTTCAAGCTGCCATTGCAGAATGTGAAAAAAGGCCATTTTCTACTGAGATTGCATGGAATTAGGTCTTTGCTTGGAAAATGCCAATATCAGAGATCTGTTAAAATCAAGACAATTAATATCTACGCTTGTTATGTTGCAGAGAGGAAAAAAAAAATATGTGCTATTTGTTTCAGGTATATCCAAGGAGCTGCATCTCCTAAGGACATGCTTATTCTGGTTGACGTGTAAGTAGTTAATTATTACATATTTTTATGCTGAGCATTGGAGAGAATTTGTAGGTAATAGTAATATGTTGAAACTGTATGACAGTTTGAAAAAAAAAAGAGAGCATGATTTTTATACTTTTTCATCCACATAAGGAAGCCACAATAACAAAATCAGCAAAGATTAATTTATTGAAAATGAGAAAACTTTCATGTTTATAATGCAGAAAGTGGGAAATTATGGCATGGTTCTAAAGTCTGCATTTTTTTAAAAAAAACTACTTATTTGTTTCTAATTATTTATTTATATTTTGAGCAATATTTAAATACAGAATTGCTGAAACTAAGCAGTTATTCCTACCAAAAAAAGATTCATTTGACACTTGAGTCATTAATGCCTCAATTAAATTTTATGGGGTCTGGGAAGGTGAGAGAGTGCTTGCATGAAAGGCCTTGTGAGGCCTTGAGTCCTGAGTTGCATTCCAGTAGCAAAAAAAATAAAAACCCAGAAGAAAAGTGAGTTACGGTTTTAGAAATCTGGTCATAAAATAGATGAATGTTAACTATTTTATTAAATGTTAGTACTGTGACTTTTTCAAGGGACATGATGATATATAAGAAAATTTCTAGGAGTTTATATACTGGTCATTTTATTTATTTGTTACATTATTTCAAGCTAAGATACTGATGAGTGTCCATGATGTTGAAGTGGGAGTTAGTCACTTAGAGTTGAGCCCCGAAAATAAGGGAGGTCACAGAGGACCATAGAAAATATAGAGACAAGAAAAATGAATATTAAGTTGTAGAGGATATCTACTTCAGAGTGCCAAACAAGGCATTCTCTCACAAATCTATTGTCATACAGTGGTTTTGTGGCTTTATAATTATTGGCTCAATAAAGTCAAACAGTCGGCTTCTAGGACAGTGACTGTGTCTATAACCTCTGTAGCTCTCTCTGCTAAATTGGCTCTCAGGGCTGGTATTTTATACATATGCTTTGAATGAGCAAATATGCCTTGAGTATCCATGTATTTTATAAATTGTCTCTTGCAGGTAATTTTGGCAGTTTCATTTAGACATATATATTGATATTGGTAGAAGATGAAGCATAAAGTTTCTTATTTTCATTCTATCAAAAAATCTCTTCTACAAATTTTTTAGAGACATTTCTTATTTGAATATTATGTAAATGATCCAGGTTTAATGCATAAGCTGTCTTTCCTTATGATGCTGTTGATGAAATACCTGGTGAGTAACTCATGCAGACCCACTTGTCTGTCCCCAGGAGTGGAAGTGTCAGTGGATTGACTCTTAAACTAATCCGAACGTCTGTCTCCGAAATGTTGGAAACTCTCTCAGATGATGATTTTGTGAATGTAGCTTCAGTGAGTATAAGTTGACTGCACTTTCCTGAATTATATCTGCATTTTCTATCTCCCTTTGATTTTGGATATGTCATATTTTTATCTTAGACAGGCTGAGATATGTGATACTGTTCAAAGACTATCTTACTGCGCTATCCTACCATTTTTACTGATTCTTTTATACTTCCATGCCAAGATTCTTTCTGAGTTTCTTAGGGTTTATCTCTGATATGATAAGTGAAATAATGAATATGAATGAAAAGCATTCCTCATATTCTTCACTCAGCAGTGCTTGGATAGGTAATGAGATCCCCTCACTCCTCAATGCCTTTGGGACTCCTGGGAAGTAATGTCTTGGCAGTATGATTAGGGGGTGATTTTCCATTCGTTATAATGCTCATTTTCTTCCTGGACAAATAACCATAATGCATTAGAGTTTTCAAATATGTTTTTTTTCTTTATAACTCAAGAACAAATAGACAAATAAATGTGCCCAGAACCATTTTAGACCTTCTTACTCATCACTAGAAATTATTGAACTCTGAAGCAAATGAAATTTTTAAAAAATAGGATGTTATCACATTTTATTTTAATTCATTGAATTTAAGCAAAATATTTCTTGGCCATTTTCTTTTGGATAGTTCATGTTTGTAGTCTTAGAGATGGATTTAGGAGGAGGAATCTCTGGTGAGGCTATTTTTTATTGAACATATGAGAATGGATCTGCCTCTGAATTCATTTGGGAGGAACAGGATAAAGAAGCAATTGATTTTCTCCCCTTCCTGGAAGGGTGCCACTAGGGTTGGTGGGAGGCAGGAGACCTGGTATAATCCCTTGTCAACTGAAGCTTCACATAACTAAATGAAGGCTACACAAAGAGGAAGAGAATTTAATCCCTAAAATGCTTTTAATGGGATACTCCTGGCTAAGGGCAGCAAGAGTTAGTAGAACCCAATATTTATGGTGCACAATTCCCTGAAATGTCCACAGGTGCCACAATTTTCTGGAGAATAAATTGGAGATATGTTGCCATTTAAATAATTTCACAAGGAACCCTGGGAAATTCTCTTAAAGAATTTATGTAGGCAGAGAGATGTACATCTAATTCAGGAAGTAAAAGGCTGGGGAGATAGCCATCATCCATATCCAGAACTCTCATGCCTACTTCATGAGATCCTTTAGTTTTCACGTGGCCTTGATATTACTTAGTAAAGCTTGATGCTGCATAAGACCTCTGATTCATCTCAATCTGATTTTCCAGATTACTTATATCAAAAAAATGCAAACAAGTAAAATGTAATACTTGACCTCTCAAATAAGGTGATCAGAAAAGATACTTATTTAGCTCTATTTGCATATAAACATATTAATTGTGAAGGCATTGCCTTGAATGTTAAGAAGATTATCTTTGTCATAACGAAAGACAAAGGCTTAAATATCTTATAGAGGGCAGCTTGACATATTTACTGAAATTTATGTAACACTAATAGATATGAAATATGGCTACTGTTTCCAGACCTGAGCCTCAGTCATGGACGTTAAGTATTACTAGTTTATTTGGGAGAAAGTCACAGAAAGAACTGGAGTTAGGCCAGTGAAGGGAGAAAGCCAATTAAAGAATGTAGATTTAATTTTAGGAAACTTAATTCCCCTTAGAAATTCTGGAAAACCAAGAGTTTGTTCACTTTAGTGTTATCCTGTCAAAATCCCAAGGAGCTGTGGTGTTAGGTACCAGCCTTCCATATGATGGGGAGGACAGATTCTGGCCACAAGAGGCCATGCTGAAACCAAAGACTGCCTATGCTAGAAGCTGGGAGATGGTCAGTGTCCACTTTGTCCAGTCAGTGATTCTTAAAGTTGGAGACTGGTTACAATTTTAAAAAAACAGACAAGCACAGTATACCAGGATGGCATACTCTGAACCAAGGTCATAATTTACTTCATCTTTTCTCCAGTCATTTTCCTGTACCCTTATTCAACTCTTTTTACTTGTAGCTTCCTTGGTGGCATGGCTCACATGTTTTGTCCCCCCCTCACACCCCAGAGACCTATGAATTCATGATTTCTGTGCCCAAACAGTAGTTTCTGCAATTTTCCATTTTTAGTTATTACCATTCAAATAGAAATTGAACTCATTCCCTGAGTTTCATTCATGGTCCTTCCTGCCCACAGTATATAGTAGCAACTCCCATGATAATCACCATTTTTTGTTTGGTAGTTTGGGGTGTTTGTTTCATGTTGGTACACTGCCATGAGAAGCCTACAACATCCATATGGTAACTGTAGATTTTTATTTGTTGAAATCATTACTGACCCTGGCAAAACCCATGTCCCATGCCCACACATACAATTGAAAAGCAGAACACGTATTTCATCGAAATTGGAGGGACAGAGAGTATACATTTCTCAAAGGATCTCTTTGAGTTATAGTGACAGGGGATAGTCCTACTTCCTGCCGTGGTTTTCATACATATGCATTTGATTTTGGGGAGGCAGAACCATGGAAAAGGGGAAATATAGTTTATACCCTTTGCCAGTTTTCATGATGTAAATACACAATGGCCAATTTCAAGCTACCAATGTGAGGTCAACTGGCCTTAAAAATTTCTGAAAATTTAGCCATCATTTTCATGGGCTGTTCCAAACTGGCTATAGAATATACCATCATGATTCATGGAACCACAATTCAAAACTGTGTCACTTCTAGAAAGACAGCATCACAAATTGAATTGTCACCTCCAGGCTGGAACCTGTTTTACCAGGCTAGCAGTTTCTAGTGACATACATATGTTAGGCTTTGTATTGTTTTGTCATCTATTATTGAACTTCCTTTACCATAAAATGGTCTGCTTCATTTTAGAAGATGTTATAAAAGACACCATGATTATAAATCAAGTAGTATATGAATCCAAGGAATAGTGATATTAGAAGTGCCACTATGAAAATGCAAGAATCCCATTGTAGGAATATGTGCCAACAAGAAAAATGAATTTTTCGCCTACTCTGGGAAAGTAACAAGCGATGTAATAATCTTTCCATGAATTTGCTGATTGTATTATTTGAGAAGAGCAGAACATGGAATTTGACTATTCCCATTGGGCTGGTCACTTTACCAGTGGCAGTAGCTACAAAAGAATAGGTGAAAATGAGTCCATGCCTATCCTTTCTTACTATTAATATTTTTTCTCCATTCTGGGGCCAATTTTTCAAGTACCCCAGTTATCACATACAGAGCTGGTTGACCTCTAGTGTACAAATCATCTTATCTATACAATTATTCAGTACCTCCTCTATGATGAATGCCCTCTAGTAAATATTTATGTAACACAATGAGGTTCACACTTTATGCTTCTTTCTATAAGTAAGGGGACTAATTAGGTCTGCCTATCTTAGAGAGGATAAGGGAATCCAGAAATTCAGTGTTTCCATGTATATCTATTGAATTAGTCTTAGGGTTCCATTCTTTGCTTAATTGTACCCTAAATATTTTTTTCAGTGTCCCCAAAACTGCTTATATCATCAGTGGTTTTTTTTT